GCTACCCGTAGTTATATTAGTCGTAGAGCGCTGAGGAAGTTGAGGCTAGGGCTAAAAGTCCAAAAGCTAGTAGACCCCATAGTCAGTGTCCTCGCAGACAACCGCACTATGCGTGTTGAGGACTACGTAGAGGGAGTCCAGGCGTATTTCCGCCTAGAGAAAGATGGGAAAGTGGAGAAAGTTCTCCATTCCCTGACTCTCCTCGTACAGGATGACCTTCCTTTTGATATAGTCCTAGGTATGGAGTGGGGAGAGGCAGCAGGGGCCACACTCCACTTGAGAGAGCATGAGTGTAGGCTCCCTAGCCCGTCAGGCGAGATTAAGACTACCCGTCTGTTCCATGCGTCAGGTGTAGATAATGCCCTGGCACATTGCTGTCTCAGTGCTCCTGCGTTTGCTCGATTGGTGAAAAAGGAGAAATTAGAGGAACAGGTCTTCGTAGTTTACGCCAGGCCTGTTACTGAGCCTAAGGAAGAGAAGCCCATTGACCCAGTTATTGCCAAGCTGCTGGAAGAGTTTAAGGACTTAGGAAAGCCGCCGACAGGAGTAGTGTCGTGGCCGATCCAGCATCGTATAGAGATAGAGCCTGGCAGTAGAACTCCCAAAGGAGCAATGTATAGGATGCCCCCGTGGGAGTTGGAAGAGCTGCGTAAGCAACTAGACGAGCTCCTAGAGAAGGGTTGGATTAGGCCCAGTTCGTCTCCATTTGGAGCACCAGTTTTGTTTGCCCCCAAGAAGGAGGGAGAGCTTAGAATGTGTATTGACTATAGGGGACTAGGAATGGGCACTATGAGTTTATAGTCATGCCCTTTGGACTAACCAACGCGCCAGCGACCTTTCAGCGTTGTATGAATGACCTGTTTAGGTCGTGGTTAGATAGATCTGTAGTAGTGTACTTAGATGATATTCAAGTATTCAGCAAGACCCTCCAAGAGCATCAGGGTCATCTGAGGCAGGTCTTGGAGAAGCTGAGAGAAGCTAACTTCAAGATCAACCCGAAGAAGTGCGAATGGGCAAAGACCCAAGTTTTGTATCTAGGCCACGTCTTAGACGGAGACGACATCAAGCCAGAAGATAGCAAGATCGCAGCGATTCGAGATTGGTCTATGGCCCGCACATTAACAGAGTTGCGGTCGTTCCTAGGCCTAGCGAACGACTATAGGAAGTTTGTGAGAAACTTCTCCACCATCGTTGCACCCCTTCGCAAATTGCTGAAGAAAGAAACAATCTGGAAGTGGGATAAGGACCGCACATCTGCTTTGAAAAAGTTAAAGCAGGCGTTGATAGAGTACCCAGTCCTGAAGGTCACCGATCCGTCCTTACCTTTTGTCGTTACCACTGACGCGAGCCAGTACGGTATAGGTGTTGTGTTACAGCAAGACGATGGCAATGGATATAGACCCGTAGAGTTCATGTTTGCTAGGATGCCTTCAGAGAAGGTAGCGACATCCACCTACGAGAGGGAACTCTACGCTCTCAGGCAAGCACTAGAACACTGGAAGCACTACTTGCTTGGGAGGCACTTCAAAGTCTATTCAGACCACGAGACGTTAAGGTGGCTGAAGACGCAGGCCAAGATGACACCTAAGTTGACCAGGTGGGCCGCCGAGATAGACCAGTACGACTTTGAGCTCAAGCCAGTTAAGGGCAAGTACAATGTAGTTGCGGATGCTCTAAGTAGGAGGTCAGACTACTTTGGGGCGATAGTCCATTATCTGGATAGGGAAGGACCTGCAACAGAAAGTTAGAGGCATATGTGCAGGATCCTATCTATAGCGTCCTTCTTAAGAGAGTAAAGGAGCCCCCAAAGACTGAACCACATTACCGCACTATAGAGGGTTTGTTATTTGAGAAGAAATTCGTAGCCTGATCTTAGGGGAATGTCACGATACAGAGGGACACTTCGGTTGGCAAAAGACTCTAGCCAATCTGATGCGCGCGTGTACTTGGCCAGGGATAAAGGCCGACTGCATAGAGTACATCCGCAGTTGTAAGGTCTGCCAAAGGAATAAGACTACTACGCGTGCCCCTCTAGGTCTTCTTAGACCCTTGCCTATTCCTGACCAGCCCGGGGATTCAGTGTCCATTGATTTCACGGACATCGGCGTCAAGAGTAGGCATATTAAGAGCCAAGTCATGGTCATAGTAGATAGATTTAGCAAGTATGCAATTTTTGTTCCGTTGCCTGCGGAGGCACGTACATAGTTAGTAGTTCAAAAGTTTTTTGATCATTGGGTCAGTGAACACGGGATGGCGCTGTCTATAGTTAGCGATAGAGACACCCGGTTCACTAGTCAGAACTGGCAGGAGTTGATGAGAGTATATGGCTCCAAGTTGTTGATGTCATTTGGCCGTCATCCAGAGACTAACGGTCAGACTGAGCAAATGAATAAGCTCCTACAGCAAGTTCTGAGAATGTACATTAGACCTGATCAGACTAACTGGGATGAGATGCTCCCAAAGGTAGCCAGTGCCTACAATAACAACGTGCACCTGTCCACGTGTCGCACTCCCAACGAGTTACACAAGTCCTTCAGACCACGCAGACCGTTTGAGGGACTTAACCGGGATCAGATTCATAGGCTACCGCCCGGTACTAGGGAGTTTGTGTTACAGCACGAGGAGTTAGCTACCGTTGTAGAGAACCTCAAGAAGGCCCAACATAGAATGATACAGCAAGCCAACAAGCATCGTCGCCCGTCGCAGTTTCAAGTAGGCGACTTAGTCTAGGTTAAGTCTAAGGAGTTTGCTCCTGAGGATAATATCTCGCAAAAGCTATTGCCCGCGTATAGAGGACCGTGGCCAGTTCTAGAAGTTAAGGGCGGAGAGGATGGGCCGTCCTATATAGTAGAGATTCCAGTGCACCTCCACACCTACCCTGTATTTCACGCATCAAAGTTATTGTCGTGTGTCACAAGTCAACAATTTCCCTCCAGAAGGTCCATGATCCCTCCGGATATGGATGGCAGATACGACATTGACGGCATTGTAGGTGAAGGTATATTCAGGACAGGAGGTAAAGGTCGTCCTCAGAAACAGTACAAGGTTCGATTCGCATATCCGAATCAGAAGACGACCGCTGGTTTACCAGAACTGAACTTCTAGAAACAGCTCCCGACATAGTCAAGGCCTACGAAAGAGATAGGAAAGGTAAAGGTCCTGCCTTGGACTGAGATATTCTCGGAGGACCTCGAATTTAGGCCGGCGGGAGTGAAACGGTTTTCACCTTTGCAGAGGCAGATGCAGATCCCCGGGTTTGATCCCCAGACCTTACCTCACCCATGTATAGTATCGAGTTGACCCTTGAGTGTGTGAACCCGTGACCTGTGTTTCATGAGTTGTTGTCTCTGTCGTAGGACTGTGTGGACATAGGGATTCGATCTGTAGACCTGTCGAGTAGAGGTCTTAGAGAGTTCCAGAAGTCGCTACAGTCCTGAGAGGTCAAGGTCGTAGCTGCTACAGTCCCGAAAGGCCAAGTCCACAGACTTCTGGAAGGTCCGGAAGTGGCCTTTCGCAGCTTGCTCACGTTTTAGACTGAGGCAAGTGGGCAAGTGGGCAAGTGGTGGACCAACTGCAGTACGTTCGCAGTACGATAGCGGTAGGTTAGCAGTGCGTCCCCGTGCAGTCAGCCGTACCGTCCAGTTAGTCCCAGTCCAGTCCAGCAAGTACCATGAGGGACTGTGTGCACCATGGGCCGATGGGAAGGGGCAGACCAACGAGTTGCAGAAGTATAAATCTGGAGGCAGCGCACAGCCATTCATTCATTCCTGCGGAAGCCATGCGGAAGCGCTGCCACGGTGACTTGTGCGAGGTGGTCTGCAGAGGATCCTGAAGTCGAAGTGGGCTAGAGGGAGTTAGCGCAGCCATAGCTGCTTGTAGAGTTAGCTGGCGGCCATAGCTGCCATAGTTAGTAATAGGTGTGCATTCGTGTGTGTGCAGAGTGTGTGAGTGGGGTATCCAGGGTGATCCGGAGTTGAAGTGTGAAGTGAACAGTGGTGTTGGACACAGTGACAAGAGTTGCGATGTGTGGGTGCTGATGCACCATAACCTGTTGAGGCGATGTGCATCTGAACTGTGTCTTGGTTTCCATATCTTCGAGCTTTGAGTTGGGCGCTATGCGCCAGTGTGATTCACCATCTGTTTGTATGCATGTGAAGTGACGAAGTATGCGAGTCTGATTGCAAAAGCGGTATATCACCTACTCACGTCACGGGCTGACTTCGCAGACTGTTGGTTCCCACCACCTGCTGAGCGAGGAAGGTACTCTGACGGACATCAATCATCTGCCCACAGACCTCATGTACCACAGACATCA